GTAAAGGTGCCCTCCTCTGCCACCCCCTGGCTCCCACTGTGGAGGTACAGCGCAGTGCCCGACCCAGCACCTACAAAGGCTTCGGCTTTGCGGGAAGCAGGGAGCCCTTTCAGGGCTCTTACCTTAAGCCCCAAGCCCCAAGGAGCTACTTTCCCAGCCCCTTGGACACCTACGTGATGAAGGCAGCCGGTGCCGGCGCAGTGCCATCACTGCCCACCAAACCGGTGGTGCTGCCAAGGGATACTGAGCCACCACGGCGAGCCGGCTACTTGCCGAGCCCACGTTTTGCCTTGCCCCAACGACGCAGCCGTATTCGGCACCTCCTTCACCAGCACAGAGCCGAGCTCCGAGCGGCACCAGGCAGAAAGTCCCCGGCGGCGAGTTACGGCAAGGCAGAACAGCGCTTTCCAACCCGTCTGTGCCCCAGAGAGAGTACCCAGGGGCTCTGGTGAGCTCGCAGAGACGTTTCCCAAAGGAGAAGGGGGCTGGGTGAAACCCAGCCAGGGGGAGCAGGAGCCCCCTTACCCAGGGAAGACCAGCCCGGACCCCCAGGAGACCCCTCCCAGGGGAACAACACATCACGAAAGAAGATGCCTGCAAGGTGAAGGATGCAGCCAAGGAGTTCATCCCCCCTTCTCCATCCGTCTCCTCCCCGGAGGGGCTGAAAGACCCAAGGGATGGCGAGGTTTCTCCCTCTTCCCCACCCATGCCAGTGATCAATAACGTCTTCAGCCTGGCACCTTACCAAGACTACCTGGAGGGGACCAAGAGCTCAGCCCAGGTCCCCTTCTGCGGCGAGCATCTGCAGGGAGACACCCCACCCCAAAACACGGTGGGCAGCCGGGAGCCCGCTGCCCTTGGAGAAGTCTCAGCAATGTCCAGCCTGCTGCTCGCGGGGATGGCAGCCAGCCGGGTGCTGAAAATGGGCAGCGGCGTGGTCCAGCGCCAAGGGGAGGGAAAGCTGTTTCAGAAAGGTCCCCAAAAAGCCAAAGCTTGTGCCCCAAGACCCAGGGTCTCAGGAAGGCAGTCCAGGTGGGGTGGGGAGTGGGGAGCCAGCCCCCGAGGACATGGTGCTGGACCTCAGCTTGAAGAAGAAGCCGGTGAAAACCAGGGAGACTTGGGGACCCATCGGCCGCGCAGAGGGGATGCGGGACAGAGAGGTTGTGAAGGAGGAGGAGAAAGAGGATCCAGACGGGAAGACGGGAGCGGGAGAAGGGGCCAAGCCCCTGATGCTGCCCTTGCTGCTGGAGGTGAGCTCTGGGTACAAGACCAACTTCCAGAGCTCAGCCACCTTCATCTTCAAAAAATACAAGATCCTGCGCTCCCTCCAGCCCAGCACCGTGCCACCCCAGCAGACCAGCGG